GCCTTGGCCTCCCAAAGTGCTGGGATTACAAGCATGAACCACCATGCCTGGCCCCATAAATTTTTATTTTTGTTTCAAGCCACTATATTTTGGGATAATTTTCTGCACAGCAATAAATGGAACAGCAACCATTATAGTAATAGCAGATTTAGACAAAAGTCCTCAGTGGATGCAAGCAGTAATGGGTAAAGTTTTAAGGAGGAGTGAAGACTTTTACATAAAGTGTCTTCTCTCCAAATATTTAATTACTGAGGGAAAAATGGTAACTTCACAGTGGCAGATTCTGGCAGAAATCAATTTAAGTGATCAAAGTAGGCATCATATTGAAACAAATTAACATTGTACGCATCAGTATGCTGGCAAATGTGTAACAGCTGGCTGGTGGGGACATGGATTTGTAACATTTGCTGATTTTTGTGGCACAAAACCTCCCACAAGCCTGGTGGCATGGCTCATGCCTGTAATCCTAGCACTTTGGGAAGCCAAGGCGGGCGGATGGCTTGAGGCCAGGAGTTTGAGACAGGCTAGACAGTATAGCCTGATCCCATCTCTACAAAAAGTAAAAAGATAAAGAAAACTTAGCCGAGGTGGCGGTGCACCCCTGTAGTCCCAAGTACTTTGGATGCTGGGCAGGAGGATTGCTTGAGCCCAGGAGGTAGTGGCTGCAGTGAGCAGCGATCCTGCCACTGCACTCTAGCCTAGGCAACGGAGTGACACCCCTGTCTCAAAAAATATATATATATATATCCCATCAAGACCAATTTCAGACTCCTAAAGGTTTAACAACAAGCTGGAAGTGTAACACTTGGCCCCATTCATGTGCCCCTGGCGTGTACACTGCAAAGGACAAAACCTTGTTGCTAAGGTGCTCCTCTCAAAAGTGTATCCCCTGAGCCTCTTCCCAGGGAAACGTTAGAGGAACCTGAAATGAGGGATAGTCTGTGAAATAACTGGCCTGTACTCTTCAAAAATGAGGTTCCAAAACACAAAGGAAGACTAAGAAACTGTTTCAGACTGAAAGAGACAAGAGATTTGACAACTAAATGTAGCTTGTGATCCTGGATTGGGTTCTGGACCAAAACCAAAACAGAACAAAACAAAGCTCAGCGGGGCCAGAGCCAGATACTAGCATTTTTTCAATGTTAATAATTTTCTGATTGGGATGGATGTGCTGTGGCTCCGTAGGAGAATATCATTGTCTTTAGGAAAGGCACACTGGAGAATCTAGGGATAAAAGGCATAATACCTGCTACTTAGTAGTTAGAAAAAAATAGGATATATATAGAGAGAGCAATTAGATAGAAACAGAGAAAGAATGATATATCGAATCAAATGTTGTAAATGTTAATAACTGGGGGGACCTGGGCAAAGAGAATGTTAGAGGTTTGTGTTGTTGTTGTTATTTTTGTTTGTTTTTTGAGATAGGGTCTCCCTTCATTGGCCAGACTGGAGTGGAGTGGTGCAATCTCAGTTCACTACAACCTCCGCTTCCTGCGCTCAAGTGATCCTCCCACCTCAGCCTTCTGAGTAGCTAGGACCACAGGCACACCCCACCATGCCCAGCTAATTTTTGTATTTTTAGTAGAGATGAAATCTGGCCATGTTGCCCAAGCTGGTCTCAAACTCCTGGGCTCAAGCAATCCACTCGCCTCGGCCTCCCAAAGTGCTGGGATTACAGACGTGACCCCCTGTGCTTGGCCTGGTAAGAGTTTTTTGTACTATTCTTGCAACTTGTTTGAAATTATTTCAAAATGATCAGATAAATGCTCCGTGGACATTTAGTTCAATAGGACTAGGCCTATGCAATGAGGAATAAAGTCAAGAAGAAAGAACTGGGGCCGGGGATGGTGGCTCACGCCTGTAATCCCAGCACTTTGGGAGGCCAAGGTGGGCAGATCATGAGGTCAAGACCAGCCTGGCCAACATGGTGAAACCCCATCTCTACTAAAAATACAAAAATTAGCCAGGTGTGATGGCATGCGCCTGTAAACCCAGCTACTCGAGAGACTGAGGCAGGAAAATCACTTGAACCCGGGAGGCAGAGGTTGCAGTGAGCCAAGGTCGCGCCACTGCACTCCAGCCTAGGTGACAGAGTGAGACTCTGTCTCAAAAAAAAAACAAAACAGAAGGCAGAACTGGACACAAAGGCAAGACTATTGCTGGTTCATTTTGCCAAATCATTTGCCAAATCAGCAAGTCCAGGCCAGAGGCTGTCTGTGTCTGCCTGTGCTGGAGGTCCCCTGCAGCCATGGCAACTTGCTACAGAAGTCCATTCTGCTAAAGTCCATCTTTACTAACTATTAAATGTAAGTTAGTGGAGTTGGGACCTAAAAGAGATCTTCAGGGATTGGGTAAGGCACTGAATCACCTGCAGAGTTAGACAGGACTCTAGAGGTTGTCTTCTTCCACCCAGGCACAGCTTGTGGTTGCTGACTCCTGGTCGCAAGGCTTTTACCAGTTCCCGGAACCAAATGGTGATAAACTAGGAATGGAGAGAGGGCTCGCCGCTGCCTGAGAGCTCCATACAGGTCATGGAAGATGGCTGAGAAGACATTCGCATCCACCTGGGGCTTTTTTTTTTTTTCTTTTTTTTTGAGACGGAGTCTGGCTCTGTCGCCCAGGCTGGAGTGCAGTGGCCGGATCTCAGCTCACTGCAAGCTCCGCCTCCCGGGTTTACGCCATTCTCCTGCCTCAGCCTCCCGAGTAGCTGGGACTACAGGCGCCCGACACCTCGCCCGGCTAGTTTTTTGTATGTTTTTAGTAGAGAGGGGGTTTCACCATGTTAGCCAGGATGGTCTCGATCTCCTGACCTCGTGATCTGCCCGTCTCGGCCTCCCAAAGTGCTGGGATTACAGGCTTGAGCCACCGTGCCCGGCTGCCGCCTGGGGCTTTTAAGGAATTCTTTGATTCCCTGCCATCCTTGAGTTGGGTGAGGACAGGGCTGGTTTCTTGCATCCTTCTTCCAAGGCCAGGTGAGGAGCTGGACTCTGATCTCTGATCACACCAGGTCTTTTATTTGGGGCGGCTCTGCTCTACTCCCCACTGCCTCGGCTGCTGGCTGAACAGACACAGTGACAGCCACTCATTCAATGCATTGTTTATTGAGCCCTAACTAGCTTTGGGCCCAGGCTCTGGGTTAGCAGCAGGCGTGAAACAATCAGAAACAATCATGAGTGCCTGCCCACATGGGGCTTACAGTCTCGCAGGGCGAGACTGTAGACACAGAAATAAATATCTGATTATAAATTGTGATTCGAGGCATGACAGAAAAGAGCAAGGCTCCCTGAGAGAAACAGGACGGGCATAGGAAAACTTCTCTGAGACAGTGACATGAACCTGAAACTTGAAGGGTAAAGAGGAGTGGGCAAGACAAAAGGGGAAAGAAGGAATGTTCCAGGCAGAGAGAAGGAGAAGAGACCCAGGCACAGTATAGAGCCGAGGACATTTGAGGAAGAAAGGGCCGCCGGGGTCAGGGCCCTCAAGGTGACTGGGAGAGGAAGGCGCTGGAATGGATCCAGATTAAATCAGATGCTGTATGCCCTGTGGAGACATGGGGTGTTCCTCTAAATGCACTGGGTTGTAAGCAAAGGAGTGACCTGATTTAATTTGATATTTTAAGTCATTCTAGGCCAGGTGGGTGGCTCACGCCTGTAATCCCAGCGCTTTGCGAGGCCAAGGCAGGCGAATCACGAGGTCAGGTGTTCGAGACCAGCCTGGCCAACATGGTGAAACCCTATCTCCACTAAAAATACAAAAATTAGCCAGACATGGTGGCGCATGCCTGTAATCCCAGCTACTTGGGAGGCTGAGGCAGGAGAATGGCGTGAGCCCAGGAGGCGGAGCTCGCAGTGAGCCGAGATGGTGCCGCTGCACTCCAGCCTGGGCGACACAGTGAGACTCCGTCTCAAACAAAACAAAACAAACAAACAAAATGCCATTCTACTCTGTGAAAAATGAGCTGGAGGAGGCAAAGGGAAGAAAGGGGATATCAGTGAGGAGGTGTTGTCATAGCTCGGGCAGGAGCATGGTGGCTTGGACTCGGCAGCAGCGTGCAGGTAGAGTGCCACTATTGGAGTCCGGATGCGGGATGCGTTCTAATGTAGAGTGGGGGACAGCGCAGCATCAAGACTTGCACTGAAAATTTCTGCTTTGAGCAACTGGGTGGAACAGATGGAGGTGTCCTTCACCAGCTATGGGAAAGGCCAGGGAAAGGTTTAAAGGGCTGAGTGTGGTGGCTCATGTCAGTAATCCAGCACTTCAGGAGACTGCGGCAGGAGGATCACTTGAGGCCAGGAGATGGAGACCAGCCCGGGCAACGTAGCAAGACACTCTTTAGAAAAATTAAGATAGAGAAAAAGAAAGGTTTAAAGGGAAGAGACCTGGCCGGGCACGGTGGTTCAAGCCTGTAATCCCAGCACTTTGGGAGGCCGAGACGGGCAGATCACGAGGTCAGGAGATCGAGACCATCCTGGCTAACACGGTGAAACCCTGTCTCTACTAAAAAATACAAAAAACTAGCTGGGCGAGGTGGCGGGCGCCTGTAGTCCCAGCTACTCGGGAGGCTGAGGCAGGAGAATGGCGTAAACCCGGGAGGTGGAGCTTGGAGTGAGTTGAGATCCGGCCACTGCACTCCAGCCTGGGCGACAGAGTGAGACTCCGTCTCAAAAATTAAAAAATAAATTAAAAAAAAAAAAGGGAAGAGACTGAGGGTCCAGAATTGTACCTTGTCAGTTTCTGAGATTCCTGTGAGCTCTCCAAGTGCATAAATCAATGTGGGAATCATTAACAAATAAATGGTATGAGAAAGCAAAGGAATGGATGAGACCACCCAGGAAAAGAGTACAGAGAGAGAAGAGAAATAAAGAGGAGAGAGTTAAAGAGACCAGAAGAGGCCAGGCATGGTGGCTCAGCCTGTAATTCCAGCACTTTGGGAGGCAGAGGTGGGCAGATCACGAATTCAAGAGATCGAGATCATCCTGACCAACATGGTGAAAACCTGTCTCTACTAAAAATGCAAAAATCAGCTGGGTGTGGTGGCACATGCCTGTAATCCCAGCTACTCAGGAGGCTGAGGCAGGAGAATTGCCTGAACCCGGGAGGCGGAGGTTGCACTGAGCCGAGATCGTGCCACTGCACTCCAGCCTGGGCAACAAGAGCAAAACTCCATCTCAAAAAAATTTAAAAAATAAAAAAATAAAGAGACCAGAATAGAAGAGAGCCCAGGACTGAGTCCTGAGGAAACAGCACAGAGATCAGAGAGAGGAGGAGACTCTGAAATAGGGAAACTGGAAGAAATGGCCAGAGAGAGGAGAAAACCAAGAGGGTCAATGTCACTGTGATTGAGAGAGAATATTTCCAGAGGATGACTTTGGTCAGCCAGCCAAGTGCTTCTGACAGCGTCGCTCCACACAGAGGCCGTTGATTTGGTGGGGACATGGAGCTGATTCAAGAACGAGTGAGAGGCAGTGACAGCTGGTGTGAGAAGACAGCTTGTGGAGGGCTGGCTAGCTTCTCCTCACTTTGTAGCCACATCCGCTATGAACTTATCCCATCTCTTCTTCCAGATTTCCATGAAAGTATTTTTCTCCGTCTCCAACAGGGTGCTGTACCTGCAGGAAGAGGAGAGGCCCAGGTCAGCCTCAGGGCAGGGGCTGGAGACCCGGGCAGGGAGCCTGAGGGGACATTAGAGCCTTGCAGAGCACCCTCCCCAGGCCAGCAGCAAGGACTAAACAGCCATGATGAGAAGGAACCCACAGGAACCATCAAGGCATCTGTCTCAAGCCTCCAGAGAGGCAAACACAAGCCGCAGGCTACAAGGAGGCGGGCCTGGGAGGACACGGGACACTCACCTGATAGAGTTCATGGCCAGCTGTTTGAGGGTCCTCAGGTCAGCCTTCATCCCCCCAATGCCCATGAAGGCTTCATAGAAATCGTACGACAAGCCTTTGGCACCAAACATGGCTGGATCATCAGAGCTGATTACCATGGGGTGCCCAATGGCCATCAGAGCGGCTACAGGGTGGTTCCTCAAGTCAGACACCAGTTTTAGCACCTGCCCAATAGAAGGCAAGGGAGAAAGATGAGCTCTGATCCCTGAAAGGAGTAGTCACAAGTGAGGTGAGACCTTGAGCCCCATCAGCTCCCTCTGTCTTCCCATCACTATCTCCCCAGTATGGGGATGACTTCTGGGCAGAGTCACAAGGAGACACAAGGAACACAGCCAGTCCTCATGCTCCTCCTCTGGTCCTGCTCAGAGAAGCGCTAACTGAACACAGACACAGAGGACCCCAAGAAACCGTGGGGAGCAGCATCCCATGGCCCATCCCACTTCACTGGCCTCCCCCCATGTCCTTTTGCTTTGTCTACAGTTTTGCCCAAAATCCCACCCCACTGGGAACCCTCCCTGCTGTCTCATTCTTATTGGTGGCTTAGGCAAAAGGCCCCAATAACTTTACCAACAGGGGTGGGAGAGTGGAGGGATGTAGGTAACAAGAGACTTAAGGAGAGAGAAGTTATACAGGGAAAAGTTTGAGACAGCAGAGGTAGTGGTTAGGGGAGATCATATGGGATTAGCCGCATGGGTCACATGTACCTGGTTAGAGATGGGACAGACTTCTATGGGGATGTCCTTTTCCCAGGAGTAAGCCCTGGCTGCGGGGTGTTTACTCAAAGCAAATCCATGGCCGATTCTGGTAGTGTTCAGCATCAGAGCATCCAGAATGTTCTTGTCTATGGAAGTGCCCTGCCAATCTGAAGACAGGTGAATGGTCTTCCATGGGCGATGGATGGGTCTGACCCACCCGCCCCCACCGACCGTCCTCAAGTAAACAGCCCCCCATGCACAAAAATGAAGAAAAATTAACATTAACACAAATACACACACCGTTTCCTTTTAACAATGCTAAAGAGAGGTATGATATGGCTTTATTAAATTAATCATCTAATTTATTAATTTATCATTCTAATGAGAAAGTTGAAACTTAATAGCTTTTATAAATTGACCAAAGAAGTTCACATAGTAAATAGCAAACCCGAGGGGCTTTTTTTGGTTTTTTTTGAGACGGAGTCTCACTTTGTCGCCCAGGCTGGAGTGCAGTGGCACGATCTCGGCTCACTGCAAGCTCTGCCTCCCGGGTTCATGCCATTCTCCTGCCTCAGCCTCCCGAGTAGCTGGGACTACGGGCACCTGCCACCATGCCCAGCTAAGTTTTTGTATTTTTAGTAGAGATGGGGTTTCACCATGTTAACCAGGATGGTCTTGATCTCCTGACCTCATGATCCGCCCACCTCGGCCTCCCAGAGTGCTGGGATTACAGGCATGAGCCACCGCACCCGATCACAAAACTGAGTTTTAAACCTCGGTCTGTCTGACCCCACAGTCCGCTTTCCTTCTTCCTCTTTTGTGGGACTTTTTTTTTTTTTTCCAAGATGGAGTCTTGCTCTGTTGCCCAGGCTAGAGTGCAATGGTGTGATCTCGGCTCACTGCAACCTCCGCCTCTGGGATTCAAGCGGATTCTCCTGCCTCAGCCTCCTGAGTAGCTGGGATTACAGGTGCCCACCACCACACCCGGCTATTTTTTGTATTTTTAGTAAAGACAGGGTTTCACCATGTTGGCCAGGCTGGTCTCAAACTCCTGACCTCAGGTAATCCACCCGCCTGGGCCGCCCAAAGTGCTGTGATTACAGGCGTGAGCCACCACACCCGGCTCTGGGACTCTTACGCTTATAATCTTTACAACAATGAGTCACAGGTTCTCTTATTTACAACATCAGTATAACTACCTGTGTGTGCTCACTTTAATTTATATATGTAATAGTACTGTCAAGATGTTATCACTTGCCAGGTGACTGCAAACATTCTTGTGGCCTCCCTTCTCCCCTGACATCCCCATCACACCTTTCTTGCAGCTAGGGCCCTCGGTAGAGGATGAAAGGTCAGATGTGCCTTTCTCAGTCTCCCTTACAGCTAAAATAGCCTTAACGCTGGCCTGGGAGGGGAGCTGTGGGGGATTCCTCCCTGATAAAAGGAGATCCACTGGGAGGCTGTCTCCTATTTTGCTTCACTAGATGTGGTCACCCCAAAAGTGATTTACCATCTGACAGCCAAGTGGGGCAGAGTCACCCACACAATGGGCATAGCAGAGATTGCTTCTCATATGAGATAACAAATGTCCTTATTGTAAAATCTGTGGGATGCATGTACTCTATTCTTGCAGCCATAAGCATTCTAATGGATCCACATATAAAATATGAACATCCGGCTGGGTGTGGTGGCTCACACCTGTAATCCCAGCACTTTGGGAGGCTGAGGCAGGAGGATCGCTTGAGCCCAGGAGTTTAAGGCCAGCCCTGGGCAACATAGAGACACCCTGTCTCTACAAAAAAATACAAAAATTAGCCAGGCATGGTGGCATATACCTGCAGTCCCAGCTACTTGGGAGGCTGAGGTGGAAGGATAACCTGAACCCAGGAGGTGGAGGCTGTAGTGAGCTGTGATCATGCCACTGCACTCTAGCTTGGGTGACAGAGTGAGAGTCCGTGTCAAAAATATGTATATATATGAAAACTCCACTTTTCTGATAGAAATAAAACTCAAGAATTTTCATTCGTACCTAGCACATGTATTTTGGTGGATTGTCACTGGTTTTTAAAGATTTCTTCTTCTTTTTAAAAATAAGGACACTACTTTTAAGTATTAGATACCCAAGTCCTGGCAAAATCATCTCCAAGGAACATACATCTTGGAATTGTTAGGTCCTGTGCTGCAATGTTTTGTACTGCCAGAATTATTTCACACATAAGTACGATTTTCCCCAACCAGACCACACACTCTTCAAGGTTAACAACACCCTCACCCAACCCCCTCCCCCTCAAACAATTCTTCTGCTCTCCTAGAGCAGACTTTGATCTAAATTGGATCTAAATTGACTCGAAATGTCAGGAAAAAGAGATTAATGCACAAGGTCCCTTCCTCTGAGAGATGGTGTGATAAAGCAGAGCTTAAGCCTGGGCGGGAAATAAAGCTGCCCACCACTCTCTCCACCCCTCCTTGGTCTTCTGAGGGTGACAGGTGGGATGCTGCAGAGAGCCGCCCTCCTGGTTCCGGCCTCCATGGGAACAGCCTCCTCCCAAATCTTCCTTTGGATCTGAAATTGCAGCCATGATCTTGCTTAGTTAGGGTTTCCACATTTTAAGGACTGGAATACGGGAGGGGCTGAGATGACTGAGCGAGCCCAAGGATGGAGTTCTGGGGAAGAAAGATGTGGCTGGGCTAATGGCATTTCAGGAGGAACAGCAGCCAGGGCCTGCATGCGGCAGGGCAGGGTTTCCTCTCCTACGATAATGAGGGACAGAACATCCTAAAGACAGGGAGCAGACCTGGTTCTCCTCCCTCTTCCGCCAATTTCCGGCTGCGTGGCTTTAGGCAGATCAGTGAACCTCTCTCAAGCACAATTCACTTGGAGGATGGAGAGCGTCAGAAAAGGTTCCAATTCATACACATTATATACATGCGTCAAAATATCACATGAGGCCGGGTAATCCCAGCACTTTGGGAGGCCGAGGCAGGCAGATTGTTTGAGGTCGGGAGTTCAAGACCAGCCTGGTCAACATGGTGAAACCCCATCTCTACTAAAAATACAAAAATTAGCCAGGTGTGGTGGCAGGTGCCTGTACTCCCAGCTACTCCGGAGGCTGAGGCACAAGAATCACTCGAACCCGGCAGCCAGAGGTTGCAGTAAGCCAAGATCGCACCACTGCACTCCAGCCTGGGCGATACAGCGAGACTCAGTCTCAAAAGAATTTTTTTCCATGGCTCACGCCTGTAATCCCAGCACTTTGGGAGGCCGAGGTGGGTGGATCACTTGAGGTCAGGAGTTCAAGACCAGCCTGACCAACATGTTGAAACCCCATCTCTACCCATCTCTACTAACAATAAAAAAGTTAGCCAGGCATGGTGGTGCCTAAAACACATTTTTATAGCCAAAGTAGGATGATGTGAGTTTGCAGGATTATGCCTGCACCATGAAAAATTAAAAAAAAAAAAAAAAAGAGAAGAAGGATTCAAATTCAGACTCCACCGCATACCAGCTCTTTAACCCTGGACCACTAACACTGTGTTTGGAGCCTTGCGCTCTTCATCTATCATATGGAGATTAAAACATGAGCAGGACTGGGGAAACAATTAGAAATAAATTAGAAAAAGCCGGGCGTGGTGGCTCACACTTGTAAACTCCAGCACTTTGGGAGGCCGAGGCGTGCAGACCACTAAGTTAGGAGATCGAGGCCATCCTGGCTAACACGGTGAAACCCCACCTCTACTGAAAATACAAAAAATTAGCCAGGCATGGTGGTGGGCGCCTGTAGTCCCAGCTACTCCGGAGGCTGAGGCATGAGAATCTTTTATTTTTTATTTTTTATTTGAGACGGAGTCTTGCTCTGTTGCCCAGGCTGGAGTGCAGTGGCGAGATCTTGGCTCACTGTCAGCTCCGCCTCCCGGGTTCAGGCCATTCTCCTGCCTCAGCCTCCCGAGTAGCTGGGACTACAGGCGCCTGGACCATGCCTGACTAATTTTTTTGTATTGTTAGTAGAGATGGGGTTTCACCATGTTAGCCTGGATGGTCTAGATCTCCTGACCTCGTGATCCGCCTACCTCAGCCTCCCAAACTGCTGGGATTACAGGCGTGAGCCACCGTGCCCAGCCAGAGAATCCCTTGAACCTGGGAGGCAGAGGTTGCAGTGAGCTGAGATGGTGCCACTGCACTCCAGCCTGGATGACAGAGCGAGACTCCATCAAAAAAAGGAAGGAAGGAAGGAAGGAAGGAAGGAAGGAAGGAAGGAAGGAAGGAAGGGAGGGAGGGAGGGAGGGAGGGAGGGAGGGAGGGAGGGAGGAAGGAAGGAAGGAAGGAAGGAAGGAAGGAAGGAAGGAAGGAAGGAAGGAAGGAAGGAAGGAAGGATACATGTAAAGTGGCTGATTCTATTATCCTGTTATTCCTTCTCCATGGGGCTGTTGTCAGTATTAAATGAGATAGAGCACAGAAAAGGGCTCTGGAAACGCCTATAGGCTCTAACCCTGAGGCATGGGCACTGCTGTCCTGTCTCCTGGCAGCAGGCTGGAGTCCTGCCCAGGGGCACTCCCACTGACCACCTCCACTGCCCCTGCGCTCGCATCCCGCAGGCTCACCTGTCTCGCCGGCGTGGAAGAAGTAAGGCAGCTTACCGCCATCCCTGGCGGGGATCATCAGAGCTTCCTTGTAGTAGTGCAAGGAGTGGCCAGTGTCCTCATGCCCCACCTGCAGGACAGAGAAGGACAGGGAGGAGTCTGCAGGGCGCGTGCCTCACTTGCTGATGGCGCGCCCTGCAGCCTGTGCACACCCTTCCTTGTACCCTGCCGCCACTGCCGAGACCTTTGTCTCGCGGCCTTTTAAGTATAACCAGGAGCAGGCTGGGCGCGGTGGCTCACGCCTGTAATCCCAGCACTTTCGGAAGCCGAGGCAGGCGGATCACGAGGTCAGGAGATCGAGACCATCCTGGCTAACACGGTGAAACCCCATCTCTACTAAAAATACAAAAAATTAGCCGGGCGTGGTGGCGGGCGCCTGTAGTCCCAGTTACTCGGGAGGCTGAGGCAGGAGAATGGCGTGAACCCGGGAGGCGGAGTTTGCAGTGAGCCCAGATCCAGCCACTTCTCTCCAGCCTGGGCGACAGAGCGAGAAAAAAAAAAAAAAGACCAGGAGCAGAGTTGAGAAAGAAAAGAGAGCTCATTTGTTCCCTGAAATAGTTCCCCTCATTTTCAGAGGCTGTGTCTTATATCCCCCAAGCCCCTTCCACCCTGGCTCCTCACAGCACCTCCCAGGTCCAGGTGCTTCAGCCCTGAGCTCCTGAGGTGGGCGGGGAAGAAGGACTACCGGTGTACCACCATGCTTGGCTTATTTCCTTTTAATATTTTGTAGAGGTCGGGCGCAGTGGCTCACATCTGTAATCCCAGCACTTTGGGAGGCCAAGGTGAGTGGATCACCTGAGGTTAGGAGTTTAAGACCAGCCGGGCCAGCATGGTGAAACGCTATCTCTACTAAAAATACAAAAAATTAGCCGGGCATGGTGGCAGGTGCCTGTAGTCCCAGCTACTCGGGAGGCTTAGGCAGGAGAATCGCTTGAACCAGGAGGTGGAGGTTGCAGTGAGCTGAGATCACACCAATGCACTACAGCCTGGGTAACAAGAGCAAGAAAAAAAAAAAAAAAAAAAAAAAAAAAAATATATATATATATATATATATATATATATATTTGTAGAGACAGGGTCTCACTGATTTGCTCAGGCTGGTCTAGAACTCCTGGGCTCAGGCAACCCTCCCACCTTGGCCCCACAAGGTGCAAGGGTTACAGGCCTGAGCCACTGCCCTGGCCTAATCTAGATTCTTTTTTTTTTTTTTTTAGATGGAGTCTCGCTCTGTCACCCAGGCTGGAGTGCAGTGGCGCAATCTTGGCTCACTGCAGCCTCTGTCTGCTGAGTTCAAGCAATTCTGTCTCAGCCTCCCAAGTAGCTGGGATTACAAGTACGGGCCACCATGCCTGGCTAATTTTTGTATTTTTAGTAAAGGTGGGGTTTCTCCATGTTGGCCAGGCTGGTCTTGAACTCCAAACCTCTGGTGATCCACCTGTCTCGCCCTCCCAAACTGCTGGGATTACAGGCATGAGCCACGGCCCCTGGCCTAGATTCTTAATGAGATTGCTGAGCTGTCACCTAAGAAATGTCCTGGTCGTGCTTTGATTTGGTGGGGGGTGTGGGGCAATGACAACACCTATGAATGCGCAGCTTCAAAAACCGGTGTGGCCAGGCATGATGGCTCACGCCTGGAATCCCAGCACTTTGGGAGGCTGAGGCGGGTGGATCATGAGGTCAGGAGTTGGAGACCAGCCTGACCAACACGGTGAAACCCCATCTATACTAAAAATACAAAAATCAGCTGGGCGTGGTGGTGGGCACCTGTAATCCCAGCTACTCAGGAGGCTGAGGCAGGAGAATTGCTTGAACCCAGGAGGTGGAGGTTGCAGTGAGCCAAGATTGCACCACTGCACTCCAGCCTGGGTGACAGAGTGAGACTCTGTCTCAAAAAAAAAAAACAAGCGGGGAAGAAAATGGGATAGAGGAGAGGGAGGGACAAATATCACTACCTTGAGGATTTGCAAAGGGCTGGCTCCGTCCTGGACTCTTTTTCCAGACATTACCCCCCAACCCCCATCCCGCATGCTACAGGGGTTGGTGAGGGTTGTAAGAGCCACATCTAGGTGAGCAGTGTGGGACAGAAAAAAGGGCACAAGCAGGGCCATGGGGAATGAGCCCATAACTGTGGTCCAAATGCCCTGAATGCCATCCTTATTCTGGAACTTTCCTTGTTAGCCAACTGGCTGTCTGCTCTCCCTTCTCCAGTGATGACCGTCCCCTTCAGGCCTCTGAGAGGGTCAGCGCTGAGCAGCCCTGCTGGGTCAGCAGCCTGAGCCTGGCCCTGGGATTTCAGGGGTACCACAGGCACACTGCACTCCCTTCACAGGGAAATGCTGCTCTGCCCACACAGGCATCCTTGCGTGCCCCCTTAACAGGCAGCCCTTCTGTTCACAGCATGGGTTACCAGATCAAACCCTGCCACCACCGTGGGGAACTTGGTTCGGAGCCCCATGGCCGTTCGGATGGATTCTGCGATGACAGTCACGTCTTTGGATCTGTGAGAGACAGAGAAGCCGGGAGACAGTGCCCAAAACCAACAGAGCACAAACCCCAGAGCACTCCCTCCGTGCAGGGCTGGGCCGGCCCCGAGTGTGCAGGAGCCGTTTCCCAAACCTGAGGCACCCCTGCCCTCCTAACCCCACCCGGACCAAGCCATTGTGACCCTTGAGAGATATTTAGCCCAAATCCATTCTTATTCAGAGATCCTTTCTGGCTCTGGGGGCACCTGTAGTCTCTGAAAAATAGGTGGGGTCAGAGGACCCACAGGAACAGTTTCATTTGTCTGCATTTAGAGGAGGCCAAGTGGCCTCGTTCCCGACTCTCCCCGCATCTCTGTCGGGGACTCAGACATGGATGCAGTTCAGGGGCAGCTGTCTGTCCACTGGACGCCTGCAAAGGGCCACAGGTCACCCAAGTCCCTGATGGGTCGGCTGGACCCAGTAACCATCTGGCCTCTTGCTGATTAAGTCAGCAAGACTCTGGGCACTGCAGAACCCTACAGGGGCAAGGCAGGCAGCATGACAACAAAAGCCCCAGAACACAGGCTCTGGCGCAAGCCCACAACGGGCTCAAGGTCTTTGCCCTGCCACTAGCTGGCTGTCCCGCTCCAATCCTCCACTCTGTGGGGACAAAGCCTTCCTGGCCCGCCCCTCCATGGCCTCTCCCCGGAGTCTAGGTGAACCTGGGGACATTGATACACTCAGCTCAGCCCTCACACCCTCCTGCCACTGGCCCTGGGAAGGGACGCCTGGCACCAGGGAGCCTCTGAGCAGAACGTGGGCCCATCCTGCAAGCTCCCTCCTAGGGGGACGGGCACAATCCCTCCTAGGGGGACCGGCGCAAAGCCAGAGCTCAGCTCCTCCAGGCCCCAGGCCCCATGGAAGGGGGGGCACTCAGGAAGACTGGGCACAGGAGGAGGCTCCTGGGGAGTCAATGCCCTCCAGAGCCCAGGCTCGTGGTGGGCTAGGCAGATGGAGCCGCTGCCGGATCCCTCCGGTGCCCACCCCATGCCTGACTCCGAGTGATCCCACTGGCTGCTGCCCTTGCGGCTGAGACCATGGACAGGTCCCAGCCTTAGACTGGCTGCTCTTGAAATTGAGGGGAGGGGTCTTGTCTGGTAAAGTCGGAAGGACAATTAAGCTGCAAAGCTTTCTGTGCTTCCCTGGGAAAAAGAGTGGGTCTTTCACCCACGTGCCAGGCCACGCACACGGCACTACTGGAGGTCCCCACATGCAGACCTGAGCCAGTGCCCTCAGGGCATCTCCCTGATCAAGGATTCACATGCAACCACACACAGAACCCAGAGGCGAATTGAAACCAAAAAATGGGCCGATTATCCAAACATTCATGCGAAACCATTATGCTCATAACTGAGTCACCAGGCCAATGTGGGGTCACAGCCGAGAATCATCTGGGAAATTCACACATTCTTCATTTCAGTTTGGGGGTGAAGACCCGAACTAGAAGTGGCTTCAGGGAGCAATTCATTGCTGGGTCACCGCACTTCCCTACTACTGTGCTCACACACAGAGGCACAGCGCAGCTCCTTGGCACCAGCGCTGGGCCTCTCCTGGCCTCCCAGCCCCGCTTCTCACCCCTCCCCTCCCAGTCCAGCAGCTCTGCCTGCATCCCAGTCTCCCAACCCGAGCTCTTCAGCAATATTCTCTCTTACCTGTCATCTGAATAAATGATTTTGATTCCAATAAACTCAGGGTGAGTTTCCACAAACTTCTGAGCTACTTCCTGGTAAGTCTTCACTGACCACTCTTCGTCGTGGTGCTCTCCACTGAGCTCATACACCTGGGAAGAAAGCACAACCAGGAGCCGTCAGGTGAGCAGAGAGAGACGCCCTTCCCAGCCACCTCCTTCCCAGCCACCCCTGCCCAGCCACCCCCTTCCCAGCCACCCCTGCCCAGCCACCTCCTTCCTAACCACCCGCTGTCAGCTACCTCCTTCCTAACCACCCGCTGTCAGCTACCTCCTTCCCAACCAACTGCTTCCCAGCCGTCAGCAAGCTCTGGGAAAAGTAGATGGGGTCAGGGGACTCACAAAACAGTTTTATTTGTGTTTGGATGAGACCAAGTGGCCTTGTTCCCAAAAGTCCAGCCAGGCTGGACTTGTGCTTCCCTTGTTCAGGTCCTCCACGGCCTCGGACATTATCTCTGCTGCTGCCTGGGGAATTCCTAGCTGGCTCTGGGATAACCCTGATGCCCGCCTGTCTCCTTCATTGCTGGGTCACTGCACTTGAAACGGCGCCTAGCACCTGCGAGGGTAGGTGGCCATTAAGCATTTGCATAATGGTTGAAGAACAGGTCACGGAGGGACAGGATGAAAGCCAGAAAGAGTGATCTGAGAATGACGTCATTCCCCACTACCTGCTCACCTCCGCACTGCTTCCCTAACTCCAGGTGCAGCAGCTGCAAGGCGGCCAGTGCCACCAGGGACAGCAAGGGGACACAGTGAGAGCAGAGTGGGGACAGCTGGGAGTGGGCAGGTGACAAGGAAGCTAAGGGAAGGGAGGTGTGTAATGGGGAAAGGACATCAACGATATCCCTCGAGGCCCGGTGTGGTGGCTCACACCTGTAATCCTAGCACTTTGGGAGGCCGAGGCAGGCGGATCACTTGAGGTCAGGAGTTCAAGACCAGCCTGGCCAACATGGTGAAACCCCCATCTCTACTAAAAATACAAGATTAGCTGGGCATGGTGACATGTGCCTGTTAATCCCAGCTACTGGGGAGGCTGAGGCAGGAGAATCGCTTGAACCCGGGAGGCAGAGGTTGCAGTGAGCCAAGATCACGCCACTATACTCCAGCCTGGGTGACAAAGCAAGACTCTGTCTCAAAAAAAAAAAAAAAAAAAAAAAAGGGCCCTCTCTCTTCCTTGGCGCTGCCTATAGAGGTGGCAGCCATCTCCTCCTCAGCATCATGGCCGCCCCCAGACCCCTTGTGAAGCCTGATGGTCAAAAAGACAACCAAAAAGTTCATCTGGCACCAGTCTGACTGATACGTCAAAAATTAAGCGTAACTGGCGGAAACCCACAGGTACTGACAACGGGGTTCGTAGAAGGTTCAAGGGCCACATCTTGACAACCAACATTGGTTATGGGAGCAACAAAAAAACAAAGCACATGCTGCCTGGTGGCTTCCGGAAGTTGCTGGTCCACAACATCAAGGAGCTGGAAGTGCTGCTGATGTGCAACAAATCTCCCTGTGCCGACATTGCCCACGTTTCCTCCAAGAACCGCAAAGCCATCATGGGAAGAGCTACCCAGCTGGCCATCAGAGTCACCAACCCCAACGCCAGGCTGCGCAGCAAAGAAAATGAGTAGACAGCTCATGTGCACGTTTTGTGTTTAAATAAAACTGTAAAAACTGAAGGGGAAAAAAAAAAGGGGCCGGGCACGGTGGCTCACACCTGTAATCCCAGCACTTTGGGAGGCTGAGGCAGGTGGATCACGAGGTCAGGAGTTCGAGACCAACCTGGCCAATATGGTGAAACCCCGTCTCTACTAAAAATACAAAAATTAGCCGGGTGTGGTGGTGCATGCCTGTAGTCCCAGCTACTCGGAGGCTGAGGCAGGAGAATGGCATAAACCCGGGAGGCAGAGGTTGCAGTGAGTCGAGATCACACCATTGCATTCCAGCCTGGGCGACACAGCAAGACTCCACCTCAAAAAAAGAAAAAAGAAAAAAAAGATGTGGGAATTTCTGCAGAGACTGTGGGGTAAAGGAGATAGAGAGCAATAATATGGAGGTGTCGATTACTTCCATGGCCATCAATGAAGCCCTTATGATGTAAAAGGAACAGGGCTAGGCACTGGAAGGGATGAAAAGTGCTAATAGACAAGATAGCTGCCCTCACGAGGGACAACATAGTCAGAGAGATAGATTTGACCCACTGAAAAGAACTCACGCCTGTAATCCCAGCACTTGGGAGGCCGAGGCAGGAGGATCACTTGAGTCCAGGAGGTCAAGACCAGCCTGGGTAATGAGTGAGTTCCTGTCTGTAAAAAGGAATGAAAAAAATAATAGAATACGTGCTAAAGAGAAGCACATGGACTCCCAGAAGAAGAAGAAGTTTGTTGTGACTGGATGGGTCAGAGAAGGTTGCTAGTCCTGACCAAGGGAACGGTGGCTCCACACAGAGCCAAGAGCTGCCTGGGGGGTGGGGGGTTCAAGGAGCCGAGGTTGAGACCTGCAGTGGGAGCCAGGAGCTGTCCCCTCACTAAGGAATAAACACCCTTCCTCCTCCTGGGACTCGGCTCCTGCCTCTGTGGCATCTCAGGAACTGGGTCCTTGGGAGTCCACCTCCTCTGCTCATTCCCACCAGCCCCTTGCTTCACTCCTGTCTCCCAGCCTAGGGGCCTCCCACACCCCTCCAGGCTGCGGCCACTATGTGTCCTTTGCCTCTGGGCAGTCCCTCAGATCCCCGCTTTCCCCAAGGCCCACAGAGCAGCACTACTGCTCTCTGATCGCCAGGGTGCCGCCCTGCTGCCTGGGCAGGGGCAGTGGGAGAGCAGGCAGCAAGGCGCTCTGCTGGTCTTTGCTCTTCTGTTTCCTCTGCTGCCCCCATGAAGCGCGGCACATCACACAGCCCCCCATACCCTCCACCTGGCCAGGCCACACATTCTGCTCAGGCAGTTTCCCTGACTGCCTGACCCAGCACAGACACTAAAGTTCAGGGCTACTGAACTTTAAGGCTGCCAGAGCGTGCCAGAGGGGAGAACCTTAGGTACTGTTCATTCAGGATCTGGTATTGTCCATTATTATTATTATTATTATTATTATTATTATTATTATTTTACTGAAGGGGGTCAGAATACATCACCCCAAATAGGCCACTTTAGCAGAAGAAATATTTTTAGCTGAAGGCAATTAAGAAGCAGTAAATGGGTCGGGCGCAGTGGCTCAAGCCTGTAATCCCAGCACTTTGGGAGGCCGAGGCGGGCGGATCACGAGGTCGGGAGATCGAGACCATCCTGGCTAACACGGTGAAACCCCGTCTCTACTAAAAAATACAAAAAACTAGCCGGGCGAGGTGGCGGGCGCCTGTAGTCCCAGCTACTCGGGAGGCTGAGGCAGGAGAATGGCGTAAACCCGGGAGGTGGAGCTTACAGTGAGCTGAGATCCGGCCACTGCACTCCAGCCTGGGCGACAGAGCGAGACTCCGTCTCAAAAAAATAAATAAATAAATAAATAGAAGCAGTAAATGAAGAAAGAGCTCTTTGCCCACCTCATCCGCCTAAATTTCCCTTTGTGAAGGTGTCGCCCTCCCCTCTCCCGTACCAGAACAATCACCCTTACCACTGGAAACAGAAAGTTGCTACCAAGATGGGTCTGCACAAACCAGCCTTAAAAAATTGACCTTATCTTCCATTAGTTTTCTCCATATGTTTACCTGCCCACAAAGTACTGTCCCTAGAAGCCCAAACCCCTTTTCCTTCATCTTGTCACTTCTTCACAATTTACTACCAGTTGTTAAAATGGAATATAAGCCCCCAGTCTAACTTCTTTGGTGCTTCACATCTTTTTAAGGAAGGCCTCCATCTATCTGTGCACATAGCAAATTTTTAGGCTGGACGCAGTGGCTCACGCCTGTAATCCCAGCACTTTGGGAGGCAGAGGCGGATCACCTCAGGCAAATCACCTGAGGACAGGAGTTGGAGACTATCCTGGCCAACATGGTGAAACCCCATCTCTATTAAAAATACAAAAAAAAAAATTTTTTTTTAACTTTTTTTTTTGCAACCGTCTTGCTGTATTGTCCAGGCTGGAGTGCAGTGGCACCAATGTTGGCTTACTGTCCGTTTCACTCTTATTCTGTCATGGATATACAGTAGAATTTTCCTGAAGTTGCATCATGTGTGATATCATTGTGACCGGTAATGCCAATAATGGATTATGTGCTTGTATTTAGAATTTTTTTTTTTTTTTTTTGAGACAGAGTCTTGCTCTGTCGCCCAGGCTGGAGTGCAGTGGAGCGATCTTGGCTCACTGTGACCTCCGCCTCCTGGATTCAAGTAAGTCTCCTGCCTCAGACTCCTGAGTAGCTGGGATTACAGGCACATGCCACCACACTTGGCTATTTTTTGGTATTTTTGATAGAGACGGGGTTTCACCATGTTGGTCAGGCTGGTCTTGAACTCCTGACCTCATGATCTGCTTGCCTTGGCCTCCCAAAGTGCTGGGATGACAGATGTGAGCCACTGCGCCCGGCTAGAAAATTTCTTAATTTTGGCCGGGCACGGTGGCTTACACCTGTCATCCCAGTATGTTGGGTGGCCAAGGCAAGTGGATCACTTGAGGTCAAGAATTCAAGACCAGCCTGGCCAACACGGTGAAACCCCCCTCTACTAAAAATACAAAAACTTGCTGTAATCCCAGCTACTTGGGAGGCTGATGCAGGAGAATCACTTGAACCCAGGAGGTGTAGGTTGCAGGGAGCCAAGATCTCGTGCCATTGTACTCCAGCCTGGGCGACAAAAGCAAAACTCCATCCCAAAAAAAAAAAAAAAATTTCTTAATTTTAACAGCGAATACAGGATAGATCAATAGACATAATCCACATAAATAAAAGGTGCTCGAAATTATCAAAACTTTTTTAAAATATAAAGAGGTTCTGGGACCAGAAAGTTGGAGAACCATTGTATAAACCCAACCCAGCATTGTTACCTGCAGTTGTCTTGGACTCCTCTGGCTGGTTCACAGCAGGGAAGAACAGGGTTCTGTCCTGGCCTTGACCACCCTGTCATTACTGAGCCTCCTGCCCACACCCCACCTAGACTGGAGGCCCCTCCAGG